TTTTGCAAAATGAGGGTAATAATAGCAGGAACCTCCCAGGATTGTTATGAGTTTTAACCAGTCCCATGTGGAAAGCGCTCCCTGTAGGCCTGGCCTTAGTGGCTGCTATGTAAAAACACTCTTTCCCACTCCTTCTTTCCCTCACTATTCTTCCGACTCCTCTTTATCCTGCCAGCGCAGGCCCTAGCCCTGGCATGTGGGGGTGAGGCAGGCTGTATGCTGTGAAGGGATAGTGTTTGCAGAAGGGAAGCTCTTATTCCCTGATCTCAACCACTCCCTCTACCTGCAGGGGACCTGGGGTTGCAGAGAGCATGAGGTGAGGAAGGGGCTTCCCGTGGGCTCCACGTCCCTTCCCTGAGCCAGAAGGCCCTAAAGCAGGAAGAACCTCCAGCCTCCCCTGCCCTCTATCCCCCATTTATTCTTCTACTCCCTGATTTTTCCTAGTGAGAATTTCTCTCTCAGCTCACCTCCTCTAGGCAGCCCTCAGGGATTGGACAGGGATCTTTGTGCCCTGAAGGACACTTCTGAGGTTACAAATCCTCATAGATTTGTCTCCGAGGTCTCCAAGGATATGGACCCGGGCATGGGAAACATGCTTCCAAGGTGCTGTATCCCTTGTCCTGGTGGCCTCCCATTCCTGAGTGCCAGGAAATCCTTCTGACAGTCTACCCTCATGCTTCCCACCTGGATCTGAAGGGGTTACTCAGTTCCAGGCCCGCCCACGGCAGGTCCCAGCTGCCTGGGGCCTGTGGTCAGAGCTAATGTAGGTTGGAGTTGGAGGACAAGAGGGGATAAAGTTATTAGCGTCTTCATCTTTGAGGGGTATCGATCGCCAGGTCTCCAGGCTCACTTGGTCTTATAATGGGGCTCACGGGGGTGTTGGGAGGGGCTCAGAAGAATCTCACAGAGCCCCTTCCCCATATCCTGGAGCGGGGCTGGGCTACCAGTGTCTACTGGAAGGAAGACATGCAGAGACAGTTTGGGAGGTGAGGGTCCCGGAGGCAGGAATGAAGCTGGGCTGGGAGGGGCGTCAGGCCTTGGTGCCCTTGGCGGGGAGCGGACTGGACTGGAATGGGCTTGATTTCAGTTTACTACACCTTGCTTAAGGTTGAGTGTGTGTGTGTGTGTGTGTGACACACACAGAAAGAAAGAGAGAGTGTGGGGGGGAGAGAGAGAAAAAGAGAGGGAGAGTTTCCGAAATGCAGTTAGAGTGGCTCCCCATGGCCACCCAAGAGGGAGGAAGGATTCCCTCCCTCTTGGTTCCTGTACACAGGCCGGCCACCGACCCCAGCCTCTTGTGTGCTCCTCCAGCCCTCGGGTGCTCCGGAACGCCTTCCCCGCCCTCTCTGGGCAGCCGTCTGGTGCTCCTTTGAATGGGATGTTCTTGATGTCATTACACGTGTGGTGGCGAAGGGTACTTCACGGTGGAGCATGTCACCCCTTCCCACCCGGGGTGATTCTGGTCCCAGTGTGTCTGGTTTTGTGTCTCTGTGTGACGGTTCTTGTGAGAAGGTCTTTGTAAACTCAGTTCTCTGCATGGGTCTGTGCAAATTCGTGCTGTTCATCAGAAATCATAAGGGCTGCAGGCTGGGGATAGGACTCAGGTATCTGGCTGTCCAACTCCTCCAGGGAGGGCCCCCTATGGGCAGTTCCAGATAGAAGTTTCCAGCTCCTGGCTGACCATCTCCAGGGTTGGGGATGGAGCTTAGACTGTAGAAAGACCCTGAGGGGAGAGCAGCAGGTTCTGGGAACAGAAAGGCACAACTCGCTCCCTCCCTCCCTTCTCTCCTCCTTCCCTCTTTCCCTCCCTCCTTCTCTCTTTCCCTCCCTCCCTCCCTCTTCTGTTTCCTCTCTCCCTCCGTTTTTCTTTGGAAGCAGGGAGGAGGGAGTAAGGTGGCTTCTCCAGCCAGGGGGTCAGAAGCTCTGGCTCTTTCGCCCAGAGATGCTGGCGTCCCCTCTGCTGGGCTGGGAGAGGAGGTAATTAATGACAAGGAGGCAGGGAGGGGTGAGCGCTCAGGGCTAATGTTAGTATTAATCAGGAGCTGGTCCCCAGCGAGGGATAGGATTCAGCTGGGGCACAGCAGAGTGTGTGTGTGTGTGTGTGTGTGTGTGTGTGCACGTGTGTGTGCTGGGGGCAATGGGGGACCAGGAGCTTCTGCCTCACCCCATCAGCCTCCTTCCCTCCCTAGTGCCCCTATCGCGTCCAGCCTTCCTGCTCCTGCCCCTGGCCCTCTTTTTTTATTTTTCCTGGAGGTCTCTCCTGCTGTGTTCTTTAACCTCCTGCTGAGGGAGGGGCGGATCCCTCCTCAAGTCCAAGTCCACGCAGGCCGCCCCTCCCCACAAGCCCCTCACTAGCCCTTCCTGCGGGCAGGCGCATTAGGTGATTCCTGAGGCCTTCGGCCCTGCTAATTGCCTTTCAACCTTCCTCTCATCACCAGGGTGGCCCCCCACGAACTCCATTAGCCCCCCCTTTCTCCCCTGATAGCCCCTAAATCAGCCCCAATTATTCACAGGAGGGGGAGGTCTGGGCTGAGCTGTGATTACAGCTAGAGTAGGGGGTGGTGGAGAGGGATGGGAGTTTTAGTGCCAGGCAGGCTGGCAGGCAGGCCAGAGGCAGAGCTAGGAGGGGGAAAGGAGAGCGGGGTTCGGACCCTTCGGGCAGACTCAGACCACGGATCACCCAGGGGCAGGGACCTGAGAGCCTGAAATGGAGGGAAGGCCAGGCAGGAAGGCAGGTAGCGAGGGGGTCCTGGCTTGCATTTCAGGGACTGCCCCCTTCACACACACACACACACACACACACACAGACACACACACACACAGACACACACACACACAGACACACACACACACAGACACACACACAGACACACACACACACACACACACACACACACACACACACACACACACACACACTAAGACCCAGGAGGGTGAGGGAGGGGTCAGATGTGCAGGGCCCCTGTGAGTGGCCAGGTGCACCTCTATCACCAGCACCACTGTCAGGCATTTATGACAAGCTTTATGGGAGAGGAAAGGAGAGAAACAGGAATACTCTATCCCTATGGGACTCTCCTGAGAGGACCTCACTGCTCCTCGAAGCCCCTCCCCAGGCC